TTGAACCGAAGCACTGCAACACCCGCTGAGTACAACGATAGAGCTTGAAAGATCAAAGACAATTTTTAATATAACTCCGACTGGATTCGTCTGAAAGAAGAAAGTCATATACACCTAGGATGACTTCAGGGTGAGTAATTTATGGGCTAATTTAAATGTTTGGGTGAACTAACCCTTTAAAGTCAGTGATGACCTGAGTTGCTCTTCTCTGAATCGCCTTTGTGTTCTTTCCTTCTGTCTTTCCTCTCTCTGATCATATCCAGAGTAAACTCTTCAAAGTTTACATAGGTTTGTGTGTGTGTGTGTCTATGTGGCAATGTTGATATAGTAGTCAGTTTACATTATGCAAGCCATTGAGAGTTTAAACGTTGAGTATTTTATAATACTGATGACTAATGTCTTGTACAGACACACACAAAATACTCCACTTCTCGCACTCTCATCTGCAGCCCATATACTTGTGTTCTCTGCCTCAGACATCCATCCATCTCTTTTGTTTCCTTTAATGACAAGTTCCTCCTGGAGTCAGTCTTACGCTAGACATGCTGGGAGACGTCTGTGGATGTGTTTTCACAGGCACACATTGTGCATGTGTGTGCGTGTTTACCCATGCAGAAGTGTGTAAATTTTATGAGCATAAAAGTGTTTTGGTTTTTAACAGGAAGTGTGTGCATGTGGTTCACTCACGTCTTGAGCCAGTGAGCCGGCGCTGTCCAGTACTGGAGTTGGAGTGCGGTCTTCATAACACTGTAACTTCTCATGGATCTAATAGGCAGTGAAACAGGAAACAGAGTGATCACTTAAAGTCAATGTGGAATCTAAACTGACCTCGTTTACTTTCCTAATGTTTACTTTCCAATGTGCACCTTCCAATGTTCCTGGTCTTTTTGTGAACTAGTAATTTTTTAACAATCTTTAAACAAATTTTGACAACAAATTTCTTTTCTTTTCCACTCACATCACTTAAATCACACAGCTATTGGATAATGTTAACCAATAGCCAAATTAAGGAGGACTCAACATTGAAATTCTGACACTGTTAAGCCAATAATTATTTTCATGTTATAGTCAATAACCAACAGATGGGCAATGTTAAAATTCTACATAATTTTGCCTAAATATATTAACAATAAAACACTAAAAAACTATTTCAATTTTTATTAAATTTAGATTTATTACTACATAATGTATAGCATTTTGATATTTGCCAAAGATTACATTAGTATTATTAAATTGACAATTTATTCAATTATTTCTTCATATTTATTTTTAATTGAATATCCTGTTTCTGAGAAATACATATCATTAACAGGTTAAACACTGATAATTAACATACAAAATAAAAGTAGAATATGTGGTAGGAGCAAAAAATAGAAAGTAAAGACTGTCTTCCGACATGTTTTTAAATGGCTGTCCATTGTATTGGTTGTGTAATATCTGTTCAACCATTTCATTCTTGCTGAAATTGTGTTACCAGGACAACATCACGGTCAGGAACCATGCAGACGCTACCAGCATGTTTAGACTGGAATTTGTCCTGGGAAATATTATGTATCAGCACACAGCAGTGAAAGAGAAATTCGACTGCTACCAAGGGGACTAAATATTTGTCAAGACAAGACAAATGACTCCGCCACGGGGCTGGTTGTCATAGTGAAGTGGAGAGGGAAGGGAATGCTATGAGCTTGGATCAACCGGGTCCGAGAGAGCCAAAGATGCAATTTTTCTGGATCTCCTTCTTCAGAGTTGTTTGTGATGTGGCGAAGTTTGGCCATGGTAAGAACTGTAGTCAGGGCCGTGACGAACAAACTGTGCTTTCTTAGTCACACTGTTTGCAACCCTCAAAACGTACTGAAATCCGAGCAGGGTCACCCGTCTGTTACTACAGCAGCAGAGTAGAAGTGGAATCTCTTGCACACCGGCAAACACACTCACAGGCGAAGAAAAGAGACATAATATTTCTTATCCACTCAGACACACACATAGACTCATACACACTTGGTGGAGGAGGAATGGAATGTGGGATCTGGTGAAGGATGGAACGTAACTGTCCAGTTCCTGCACATTCCAGTGAGCGACATCTGTTTAGGCCGTCTGAGCCGTAGCGGAGCGGTTTTGCTCTGTTCAGTTCAGATTCCATCAGAGGCTGAGTGAGATTCAATGCCTTTATTTACAGCTCGGGCCGTTCTCCAGATACCTGCCTGTCCACACAGGAGCGCCAGAGAGCAGACATTTAAAATCCATTACAGAGCCCGTACACTAATCATAGCTCACGTTTCACAGTAAAGAGGGCAGGAAATGAGAGCAATGAATCGGAGTAATACCTTCAAGCATTAGTGTACCATTATTCCACTGTATCACAGAGACCTTGCAGACCGATAAACAATTGCTTCTTTTTTCAGACTTAAAAATGGCACAGTAGGACAGAGAACAATGTGAATCAGCCACGGCTGTAAGGCTAGTTAATGAGTTGATTAGTGAGGTTTACCTGAATTTACCCAACAACATTTGTGGTAGCTTCAATATTTTTATGCTTTAAAAAAGATGATTTTAGAGAAAGCAATGAAACAAAAAATGTAAATAACTAAATATAAATAAAAAAAAAATTTGTCTTTAAAACACTTTGAGAACCTTGCAAATGGTAGCGTTCTGTCCAACTGTTTTTTTTTTTACAAAAGAAAGCACCTTATGTGAACACCCCCTAAAAACACAACATACAGGTGCATCTCAATAAATTAGAATGTCACAGGCTGTTCACAGAGTGCTGTATCCAAGCATGTTAACAAAGTTGAGTGGAAGGAAAAAGTGTGGAAGAAAAAGATGCACAACCAACCGAGAGAACCGCAGCCTTATGAGGATTGTCAAGCAAAATCGATTCAAGAATTTGAGTGAACTTCACAAGGAATGGACTGAGGCTGGGGTCAAGGCATCAAGAGCCACCACACACAGACGTGTCAAGGAATTTGGCTACAGTTGTCTTATTCCTCTTGTTAAGCCACTCCTGAAGCACAGACAACCTATAGAGAATCTATGGGGTATTGTCAAGAGGAAAATGAGAAACAAGAGACCAAAAAATGCAGATGAGCTGAAGGCCACTGTCAAAGAAACCTGGGCTTCCATACCACCTCAGCAGTGCCACAAACTGATCACCTCCATGCCACGCCGAATTGAGGCAGTAATTAAAGCAAAAGGAGCCCCTACCAAGTATTGAGTACATGTACAGTAAATGAACATACTTTCCAGAAGGCCAACAATTCACTAAAAATGTTTTTTTTTTATTGGTCTTATGAAGTATTCTAATTTGTTGAGGTAGTGAATTGGTGGGTTTTTGTTAAATGTGAGCCAAAATCATCACAATTAAAAGAACCAAAGACTTAAACCACTTCAGTCTGTGTGCATTGAATTTATTTAATACACGAGTTTCACAATTTAAGTTGAATTACTGAAATAAATGAACTTTTCCACGACATTCTAATTTATTGAGATGCACCTGTATGCTTCCTTTGACTAGCCATCATAAAATGGTGTCATTTTTACTGATCTCTGGCTTGACACTTTAGTAATGAGTATTAAAACATATGAATAAACAAAGCAATGCTTCGGTAAACACAGTATGTTTTGTGGTCAAGGTTCAGATCACAGGCTACAATGGAGCAGTGTCTAAATCCTCTTGGACCAGACGTTCAATACCCACAGGCCCTTGACAAAACACGAGTGGAGAACATAAGCAGGTGAGAGAAACTGCAGCCAGTCTGGCCTCCGGGTCCTCCAAGAGCGTTCTGCAGCCAAACAAACAGCTTTAAACACAATTACACTGAACGTTGACAGATACGGAGGAGAGGAAACTTGATGTGGAATTTAGGGAATTTGACAATGGAGGGAGAAAAAGGGCAAAGATGGGGAGATGAGTATAGAAAGCATCAAAGAAAAAGGCTCAGTTTCAAAAATTAATCAGCTGGGTTCTACCTACATAGGCAGCTGCCTTCTAAGACAGCATTCTAAGTAAAAGGAAACATTTGTGACTGATGTGGAACAATTACACTACCGTTCAAAGGTTTGGTGTCAATAAGATTTTTTTTTTTTAATGTTTTTGAAAGACGTTTATTTTGCTCAGCCAGGCTGCATTTATTTAGTAAAAAATTCTGTGACAACAGTGAAATATTGAATTGTTAGAATTTAAAATAAACTTCTATTTTAAAATATAACTTATGGCAAAGTTGAATTTACAGCAGCTATTTGTACAGTCTTCAGTGTCACATGAAATCCTTCTAATATGCTGATTTGGTGCTCAAGACATATATATATATATA